GCCAGCCAATATGCAGAGAGATACAGGTGGTCCTGGGTTGTATAAGAAAACAGGCTGAGCACAGGCCAGAGGAGTAAGCCAGTAAGCAGTGTTCCTCCATGGTCTCTGCTTTGGTTCCTACCTCCAGGTTCCTGCCTTGGCCTCCCTTGATGATGAACTGAAACCTGAAAGCCAAATGTCATGGTTGGCTTTGGCTGTTGATATACTTAGGAAGAAGGAACCTCAGCGTGGGAGTTTCCTCTATTGGACTGGCCTGTGGGAATGTCTGTGACACATTTTCGTAATTGTTAAGTGATATGGGAAGGCCCAGCCCGTTGTGAGCAATGCCACCCCTGGGCAGGTGGTCTTGTGCAAGAAAACAGGCTGAGCACAGGCCAGAGGAGTAAGCCAGTAAGTAGCATTCCTCCATGGTCTCTGCTTCAGCCTCCAGGTTCCTGCCTTGAGTTCCCACCCTGGCTCCTGTCCATGATGGACTGCAAGCTATAAGATGAAATAAATCTTTCCTCCCCAAGTTGGTTTTGGTTGATGTTATATCACAGCAATAGAAAGCACATGAGAACAATGTGCATGTCACATGTATATACATGTATGTATGTCACATGTGCATATATGTATGCATGTGCATGTGGAAGCCAGAGTACAAGATTGGGTGCCATCTTCAGGAACTGTCTTCTTCCCTTGAGACAGGGTCTCTCTCTAGTCTAGGCTAGCTGGCCAGGGAGGCCCAGGGGTCTGCCTGTCTCTGCTTTCCCAGTGCGGGGATTACAAGCGCTCGCCAACACACCCTGCATTTTTACAAGAATTCTGAGAGTAAACTTGAGAAACCAGTCTTCAAGGCAAGTGCTTTACTGACTGAGTCATCCACCCCACCCCTCCCTCAGCTCCTTTTCTGCTTGTAAAGCCAAACCTCTGCATTATTTCAGGACATTTATTCTTTATATAAAATGAGACATTGCTTGATTCTATCATTGCAAGTAAGAGCCAATTGGTCTTTATTATAATAAAGCTAAAAGGAAAGTAGGGGAAATATTTAGAGTTGGAGGAAAGAAAATTCTTGTAATATAGTCACTCAGTTGTCATCTAAGGTGATAGGGAAGGGTTCCCAGTCACTCGGTCAGGTCAACAAAGGCATTTTCAAGCAGACTATGGAAGTTCGCTGTGGCTTCTTGTCCCTGCCTGTGATAGAATACAGAGGAACAGAGATGAATGAGGATAAACTGCTAAATATAAAAGGAGCTAGAGCTCTCTGGGTCTGGAAATAAGACTCTATTCCTGGCCTCTACAGATGGCAGTAGTTCTTAAGCTGAGAAAGGGCCTCAGGCTGCCAGTGGGATCCGGAGGGTCTTTAAACCAGACAGAAGCATGGAGTCTTACAGACAGACAGAAGGCCAGCTCAGGATCTCCAGGACACCCTACGATGTCTGCACCTAGCAGGGCTTCTTAGAATCCCAAGAACACTGCCTTGGGCTCCAGCAGCCCAAGATGAAGAAGGCATTTTTTTACTACTGTGGCTACTCCTTTGTCTAATGAAGCAGAGACTGACCATTCTGAGTACTGAAAAGGGAAGCAGAAATAGCATTACATCCAGAAGCCATGAAGAGGGGCATCTCCCTCCTACCAGCACAACCCCCTGAGGACAGCCACCCCACTGGGACAGCCACCCCACAAGGGACAGGTCCACTTAACCAAAGAGCCTGATAAGAAACTGATTTACTCCCCACTTAAGTTAACCAGAGTCACCCTCCAACCACTGAGTTCTCTCCAGTTTTCTCAGCCGACCAAAAAACTAATACTGAAAAACCAAGGGCTGTCTGCAATAATCCAACTTAAGAACCTTCCCTGGAATTCTAAAAGCAGATTACTGGTATCGGAGCCAGAAATTTCTGCTGTCTGAATTACAGCTCTCTTCCCTTGGGCTCCACAGAGGCTCATCCACCTGTTCTCCAAGGGAAGATATATTGATTAAGAAAGCCAAAATCCCTAACTCAGAAACAAGACTATGTTCGATCTTCTTTTTTTTTTCCTCTCTCTGCAAATGGGGCCATAACTCCACATAAGTGACATGGGAGGCAGTTACAAGGCAGGCCGCACGCTCACCCACCATGTTTTAAGGTTGTAAATGCCATGCCTGGCTGCGCCAGGGACCAAGTGGCTCATTAGCTGCAACATTAGTGTTTAATGATGTGAGGAGCAGACACTGCCAGACACCGCGCTCCTTCTTAAAACATCATTGAAGGCCCATACGTGTAATTATTATACCTTCCCCTTAAATTTTATGATTCCTCTGAAGCTGATGGGCTGCACATTCATCCAACCTATATATCTCAGAGACCTCTTCGAGGCCGCCGTTTACATAACTGTGCTAAAGAGCCATCCAGCACATGCAGGAAGTCTGGACTCTGGCCACCAGTCTGCCATTGCTGAACTAATTGAACTTGCTAGGGCAATCCCCAGCACCTTGCTCACCCTCTCCCCACTGGAATCTGTCTCCCTCCCACCTGCCTGATGCTGATGACAAACATCAGATCAAATACTGAGGAATGCTTGAAAGCACTATTCAAATGAGAAAGTAGGATATTGTTTACAGGGACCCATGTTTCCAAGCTACTGATGAAGGAGAAACCCATCCCTTAAGGGCTCCAGGTGTACAGAGGATGAGACCGACTGAGATATCACCAAGTTCTGAGACTAGGTTTCATTTTGAAGAGGTGTGTGTGAGTGTGTGTGTGTGTGTGTGTGTGTGTGTGCATGTGTGTGTGTTTATGTTCAAGTAGGGGGTGTGAGTGTGTGTGTGGGTACATGAGAAGAAGTGTGCACATGGGTACGGAGGCCAGAGATCAACCTTGGATGTCGTTCCCCAGGAGCACTATCCAACTTTTTAAAATTTGAGGCAACATCACTTACTGGCCTGGAGCTCATCAAATAAGTTAAGCTATGGAGCTCCAGAATTCACCTGCCTCAGCCTCTCAGTACTGGAGTTATAAGTGCATAGCTGGTGGAGAGAAGAGTCAGTTTTCTTTAAGAGTGTGGCCCCTAGTAGGTCAGCCATGATCTACTGGATGGCCATACACCCATGAGTATGGGCAGCACAAATTAGATGGGTTTTTTAAAAGGACACAAAATTGAGTGGGTGGGTAGAGAAGAGGGGGTGTGCCTGGGAGGAGTTTGCGGGTGTGAACATGATCAAAATACATGGTAAGAAATTCCCAAAAGAATTAACAAAAATTTTAAACAAACAAGTGAGCTGCGCATGGGGGCATGCACATCTTTAATTCTAGCACTGGGGAAGCTGAGGCAAGCAGATCTCTGTGAGATTACCTAGTTTACATGTCATGGTCCAGGCCAGCTGGGGCTACAGGGAGACCTTATCTCAAAAAAGAAAAGAAAGTAGAAAAAAAAAAAACCCACAAGTGCACGCTATCATGCAGTTCTTTATGTAGGTTCCAGGGCTGGAGCTCAGGTCCTTATGGTTATATGACAAACACTTCACCAACAGACCTACCCCCCCAGTCCCACTACCATCTTTTAAAATGAGTCTATCAGCTCATCTCACAAGAGAATCCTCATGAGCCTCAGGCTGGGGAAGGAAAAGCCTGAGGAGAGCCTGTCTCCCAGGAAGAGATCTCACACAGTGCTGACACTTGTCAGACCACCTTGCAGGAGAGACTGGAGCTGAGTCAGTGATGGTCAGTGATGGGTGGGGCCACAGCTGGACCAGGACCGCTCAGCTATGCATGCTCCTGCCTCTACTTAAACCCAATCCTCTTGTCAGGACCGAGAGATGGACTTGGGTGTCACTGGGCCTCTTTGTCCAGGAAGAGATCTCACACAGTGCTGACACTTGTCAGACCACCTTGCAGGAGAGACTGGAGCTGAGTCAGTGATGGTCAGTGATGGGTGGGGCCACAGCTGGACCAGGACCGCTCAGCTATGCATGCTCCTGCCTCTACTTAAACCCAATCCTCTTGTCAGGACCGAGAGATGGACTTGGGTGTCACTGGGCCTCTTTGTTTGCAGCGTCCACAGTGAGTAAATCTCCTTTCTTTGCTTTTCGCTATGACGTGTCTGCTATTGAGGCCGGACGGCTGAGCCTGGCTTGTTAGTGCTGGCAGAGTGCAGGCTTTGGTCAGAACAGCTGTGGTACCACAACGGCCACATTGTGCATGTGTGTGTGGTGTATGTATGTGTATGTGTGTGTGATGTATGTGTAAGCATGTGTGTGGTGTATGTATATGTGTGTATGTGTGTATAGTGTGTGTATGGTGTATGTGTGTACCTGTGTGTGTGTGTGGTTTATGTGTATGTGTATATGTGTATGTGTGAGGGGTATATGTGTGTATGAGTGAGATATATGTATGTATGTTTGTGGTGTGTGTATGTCTGTGTATGTGAGGGTGTATATGTATCCGTGTGTATGTGTGTATGGTATATGTGGGTATGTGCATGTGTATTTATGATATATGTATAGTAGTACGTGTGGTATATGTGTATTTATATGTGCGTGTTTCTGGTGTATTGTGCATATATGTGCTTGTATGTATATGTACGTGTGTGTTTGTGTGTGTATATGTGTGTGATTGTGGTGTATCGTGCATATGTGTGTATGTGTTAATGTGTATATATGTATGTGTTAGGTGGCAGATGTGTGTATATGTGTGTGTGCATGTGTTTGTGGTATGTGTGTGTCTCTGAACGCATATATGTGTGCAATTGTTTGTGATGTGTATGTGTGCTGCTAGGATTGCACCCAGGGCCTCGCACGTGCCAGTCAAGTGCTCTACCTTTGAGCTTCTTCCCCAGCTCCCCTTTAACTTTTTATTTTGAGACAGAATATCTGTAAATCATATAGGTGAACTTAGAATTCACTCTGTGGTCCAGGCCTTGAACTTGTGATCCTCCTCCCTCAGCTTCCCAAGTGGCTGGGACAGGCTTGTACCACCTGGCCTAGTTGGGCTCCAGGTGCTAATCAGTGAGGAAAAAAGGAGTGTCTTGTCAGTTACCTGATACAGCCAGCATCTTGGCTTCCAGCAAGACAGGCAGCCTGGTGTCAAGGTCACTGAGTCTCCTCCTCAGAGAGCTGCACAGTCTCTCGCTTGAGCACAGCTACAGGGAGAAATGTCAGGAATCAGTGTCCACGGCAACCCACAGAGGACAGTGAGGAAACTGCCTGAGGATTCTGGGTTTGTAAATGGCTCGGTGGGATGCCAGAGAGTGAGAGGAAGAGGGTGCTTCAGGAAGCCAGGGAAGGGGGCAGCAAAGAAGGGAGGGCGGAGAAGAAGGGGGAAAGAGAGGGAGGGGGAAGAGGGGAGGGGAGGGGGAAGAGAAGGGAGAAGAGAGCAAAGGAGGGGAGGAGCGGAGAGGAGGAGAGGGGAGGAAGGAAGGGAGGAAGAGATAAGAAAGGAGGGGAGAAATAACCCGTGCCGATCCATCCATCACGCAGGGGAGAGAGGCTCTGTGGGAGAGCTCACATAGGCTGGTGTGGGCAGACCCACAGAGAGCAGCCAGGAGCTGAAGTAACTGTATCAAATCTGCCTTAGCCTTCACTCTACCCCTGCCTGGAGCACTCCAGCCCCAGAAGGCTTAGCTCCCTCAGACTCTCTGGTCTGTCTGTCCCGTGCCAGCTCAGGGAAGAAAGTCCTCGCTGACTTCTGGCCCCAAATAGCCCCTCCCTCCCTCCCCTTCCCCCTGCCCTCTTCTCTAGCTTCCTCTGCATCTGACACAGTTTGGGTTTGGGTTTGGGTTTGGGTTTGGGTTTGTTTGTTTTTAAGAGAAACTTTATTGATTCAAGAATTTCATACAATAAATTTTGATTCTATTCAGACCTCCTCCCCTCACCCAACCACTCCTACCCCCCATCCCCCACCCCCACCCCTGACTTCTTGTCTTCTATCTGTAAATGAGAAACCCCATCCATCTTATATAACACCTTTGACCTGGGTGCCAGAGAAACCATATCTCGTTAGAAAGTCAGTGATCTATAATTCTTACACTCAAGTGATACAGTTTCATTCTTCCATTTTCTCCTCTCTACTAGGATACAAGCTCCTCCATGAACAGGGACTTTAATATCCCTGGCACACAGTAGGCAGTCAATTAAGATGTGGCTTTTGAGCTCAAGGTCAGAGAGCAGCCTGTTAAATTTAATTGCTAGAAGATACTCTCCAGAGAAACCAGAAGAGCAGATTTGAAAAATAGATAAGTCACCGACAGAGACTTGCAGGGTTTATCAGGCATTTCGCTGGGACTCTGCAACTACATCCTATGTTTTTCTTCGAGTTTCAAAAATAACGAAAATCTTTAACTTTACCCTCTTTCTCCAAATGCCTTTAGGTTACCGTTTATGTTGTCTGTGGCTGAAACATCACACTTTTTTTTCTTTTCTTTAAGGCTCATTTTCATCTGTTATCTGTACTCAGATTCATGAGCTACCTGTACACATCTCCAGTTCACCAAAAGCACACAGCATGGATTTTGTAAGGATAAAAGTATGTGGGCATTTAGGAGGAAACCCACAAAGAATGTGACCTCCAAGCATGATTCTTTAATGACCAAAAATCTGGGATCCCGTTCAAAAACTAAAAGTAATATACTTAGATTCAGAGTCCATAGATGATAGGAGATTCCATTTCTCCAGAGCAATCTACATCTTGAAGGAAAAGCCCACTTTAAATATTTTGCTTATCTCAGATCAAACAGAGGTTATTTTTAAAATCAAAGCAGACCTCACCCAGTCCTCAAAGGACTCCACTGTTTCTCTGAGGACCACAGGGGTTTTCCCTCAATGGTTGAGATTTTTCCAACCTCCCTTTAAAAAGCCCACAGGTAGTCTGTCAGCATCTAAGACTGAATCAGCAGAGCTGTGTATCCACAAGTCCAAAATCATTAATCTCAAGATTCTTTCAGGGGTTCTGAGACTCATCAAGATATCAGACTGAGATCAAAAAGGAAGATATCCAGAATACCTTCCTGCAAACTCTGAGTCTCCATTGGCTCAGTGGTCCAAGCCTGGCCCCAACCCATCCCATCCTCCCATCCTATATGTCTAAAACTGTCTTTGAAAGTCCAAAGACATGTCAGTTAATTCTATAACACCAGTCAGAGTTCTTGGGTCTTATCAATCCGCATCTAATATTTCTGATTTTAGTTAACAGTGTCTCTTAATCCCAATTTGGTCAGTTTCTCCTTTGCTGAAAGAGTCCATCCTTCAAACTTCGCTATTAATATGAAACAACCTTTCTAAATTTTCTTATTAAATTGCAATGCACATTCTTTCGGTCTCTGCTGGATGTAATGTAATAGCCAGCAATCTCCAGATATCCCAATTATTTCCGACTATTTCCATCTCATTTATCCCTTAATTACCTTTGGTTTGGGTAACTCAGGAGAGTCGAGGGATGTAACGAGTGCAGAGAAGGTTCCACCTCGCTCTGAAAATATCAGGGGTGTGAGGGTGTGTGTGTGTGTGTGTGTGTGTGTGTGTGTGTGTGTGTGTGTGTGTGTAACTCACTAAAGAAAAGAAACTGTGGGGCTGAGCCACTTGTCTCATGGTGACCTGCCAGTCTACAAGAGCTACAGCTAGGGTTAGAGTCAGGGTTAGGGTTACAGTTCGGCATGCTACATGACCCATTGTTTCTGCCTCACACAACCTCCTATGCTTTCATATATGTGCTGAAACACACATACCCACCCCAGGAAAATCTTCAAGGCTTCCTTATTTACAAATAAAATTAGCCCCTGAGGAACTCATTATCAAGTGGTAGTTTTACATTTACATTTTAAAATCTGAGGCATGAAGTCTTTAATTTGATGGAAGGCAAAATAATTATAAGTTGTCTCTAAATGTCGTAGGGGTGCAATGAGTGGTGGTTTGAATGCTTGCATCCCCATAAAATTCATACACCGAAACCTGCAGCCCTGGTGTAATGGGGGTTATGGGTTGGGCTTTTCAAGAGATTAACAAGTCCTGAAGATAGAACCTCATGAATGTGTAAAAGCCCTTATAAAGGGGACCCCTGGGGATGGGGGATGATTCAATCAGTAAAAGGCTTGCTTTGTAAGCATGGAGAGCTGAACCAGATCCCCAGCACCCATGTAAAAAGTCAGGTGCTGCTGTGTACACTTGTGATCTCAGCATTAGGGAAGTGGAGACTGGCGGATCCCTGGAGCTTGCTGGCCAGTCAGTGTAGGCTGGCTTTGCTCCAGAACACCTGAGGTTGTCTTCCAGCATACACTGACACACACTCACATACACACTCACACTTACATACTCACACACACTCACATACTTACATCCCCAACATGCACTTACACACACACACATTCACACACAATAGTCATCATCATAACCACACCTCAGAGTCCTTCTGCTGTATTTTCATCCTGTGAGGATGCAGCAAGTTGTCTGCCATCTGTGGCCCAGGAGAGGTCCCCACTAGAAGTCAGCCACGATGGCACCTGGACTCTGCCTCCAGCCTCCAGAGCTGCTATTTACAAGCCACCCAACCTCTGTGCTTTGCTATGGAAGACCAATTACACAAAGACAAAGCCCAGCCCTCACAGCATTTGGATGAACCCACTACCCTTGGAGTCTATGAAGGAGGACCTCCTGCCCAGCAAAGCAAGAGATGTAACCTATTCCTCTCCTCTGGGTAAGCAGCCCAGGAAGCTCTCAGGTAGATTTCAAGCATTCCTGGGTCTCTGGGCCCATGTCATCTTATGGATACTACTAGTTGCTGACAGGAACCCAAGAAACTAATGGCCTCATGGTCAGAACAACACTGTCAGGTGTCAGCTTTGGAAATGACTGAGGCAAAGAAACACTGAGAAAAAGGCCAGAACAACCATGGGCATATTGCCAACAACTCATGCCAGCACTGGCCTAGGTGTAGGGACCACAAGACACACTGCAGGTTTCCCAATAAACATCCAGGCTTTCCTTCCCTTCTCTTCCTCCTCCTTCTCCTCCTCTTCCTCTCATCCCTCCTCCTCCTGTGTGGTGTATGTATATGAACATGTCCGTGTGTTTGTGTGTAGATGTGAGTGCTCATGTGGAGGCCAGAATCCACCTTTGAGTGTCTTCCTTAGTCGTTCTCCCTTACATTTTGAGACAGAGTCTTTCACTGAACCTGGAGCTCGCTGATTCAGCTAGGCTGGCTGGCCAGTGAGCCCTAGAGATCTTCCTAGATCACCGCCCAGTGCTGGGATTATAAGTGTGTGCCACAATGCCCACCTATTTTTTTACCCAGATTCTGGGGATTGAACTCTGGTCCTCATGCTTACATAGCAAGCACTTTACTGACTGAGCCATCTCCCAGCCCCTAAGCCTTCTTTTTTCTGGTCATGAAAACAGAGTGATACTCCTCCCAAGTTGGAAGCTCTACTCTACAACTGTTATTTCTACATCTCAACCATCTCGGAACCTCCCTGACTCCCAGGGATGGAGGAGGGTTCAGGACCAGGGCTCTATCACAGCACCTGGAGACAACCCCCCGAGAATCTGGTCCTACAGCTCAGTCAGACATGACCACAAGGGAGGGTTCTGTTCAGTTCAACTTCTAGGACCTGGACAGTGGCACTCAGTGGACTTGGGGAATACTGAGGCTGTATCCTGCTGCTTCATAGGACAGGGACTGGCTATGGAAGTATAAACACTGTGAGGGCCAATGTTGATTGTTGGCAGGAGCCCACACCACCCAGGAGAAAAATCTCTGGGCATGACTGTAAGGGAGTGTCTAGACTAGGTTAATGAGTTACAAAGAACTACCCTAAAATGGAGGTGGGTGTCCCAGACTGAATTTTAAAAAGGAGAAAGGGAGCTGAACACCAACACTCACCTCTCTGCTTCCTGACTGTCTACAGGTGAACAGCTGCCTCTCACTCCTGTAGCCATGTCTTCCCTGTCATGATGGTCTGCACCCTCAAACTGTGAGCCAAAATAAACCCTTCCTCCTTAAGCTGCATTTGTCAGGCATTTTGTCACAGTAACAAGAAAAGTAACTATTTCAGACAGCAAATAATATAAGCAAAAATTATTCTAAACTCCACAAAAAACTGTTTTAAAAAACCCAAAGCCTTCATCCAATATATCATTTCCATTTCTGAGAAACCTGACCAATGACCTTTTAGGAGGAGAAGGCATTAATTTTTCAAATTACTTCCATCCTAAAAACCTTTGGTTATTCATTCATTTGTTTATGACAGCATCTTACTATGTAGCCCAGGCTGGCATTAACCCTTAATCCTCCTACTTCAGCTTCTGGGATGCTGAGATTGCAGGTGTGAGCTGCTATGCCCAGCTCTAAGAGCATTTTAAACAAAGGCATTCAACACGGTCCATTCCCAGTCCCCAGACTGACAGCCCCCTCTGAGGCCAGGGTCAGTGGTCCATGCAGAGGAGACATGCAGCCCCTCCCCAGCTCTTCTTCTCAGTTATGCCTGTGAAATGGTTCCACAAACTCTGTTTCTTCCAGAGCCCAAGCACAATGTGATTAACACAGGAAATCAGGTCAGAATAAACAGGAGCAGGATGGAGTTTACCTGAGCAGTGACTTCTCTGACGGCCAGGTTCAGGGATCTTGTCCTTTCCTGGAGGCTAGAAGAATTAGAAAGAGGATTCAGACCCTTTAGCACCAAAGCAGAGCTCTCTACATACAAGACACTGCCAACAGGGAACTTCCATCACACAAGAACTTAAAGGACAGGAGAAAGATGGTGACTGGCAGTTCCATGTGACCATGGGACTAAGATACAGGTGGGAAACAGATCTCACCTCTAAAAATGCCTTACCTCGGCTGCCATTAAAATCTGTCTTCAGGAACAGGAGAGATAGTTCAGTCAGTAAAGTGCTTGCCACACAGGTGTGAGGACCTGAGTTTGAATCCCCAGAACCCACATAAAGAGGTCAGCCATGATGGCCTATGCTTATAACCCCAGCACCTCCAGCACCAGAAAGGTAGAAATAGGAGGATCTCTGGGGCTCACTGGCCAGTCAGCCCAGCCTACTTGGTGAGTTCCAGGCCTGTCTCAAAAACAAAGAAGAGGGCTCCTGTACTGAGCTACACACACACACACACACACACACACACACACCCCTTTCCCAGTCATATGTCTACTGATGATGGGAGGACCCACCCTGGTTTGACAGAAAGCACTGTGCCCTATAACCAGCTTCCTGGGATGGGCCACACTGACAAGGAATCAGTGGGACTAAGTAACCGTGTCACCAGTTCAATAAAACCAGCGCCCTCTGCACTGAGCATCAGCGAGAATAAACACAACATACAAATTTCTTAAGAACACCTAAAACAGCAAGCACCCCTCCCAGATGTACCCGACCTGTGGTCCATAGGCTGCGTGTGACCCACTATGAATGCCGCCCAACATAAAATTGTAAAATTACTTAAAACATTATGAGATTATTTTTTGAAATTTTTTAAAAAACGTATACATGAACTTTAAAGATGTCAGCATCTGTCACAATGTAAAAGGATCGTCCATCCCTGAGTCTAAGCTGTGCCTGCTTCTTTTCTCCTGACTACTTTTCCCTTCACATACAATGTCTCCCCAAGCCCCTTGATAGACTATAAGTTCCATGTGGGCAGCAGCCATTTGCTGGGTTCACATCCTTGCCCTCGGGGCTGAAACATTTTTTGATTGGCATACTGCCAAAACCTGTGCCTGAATGCACAGGTGCAGCTATGACTCAGCTCTGATTCTCTGGGTTTTGGTGCAGAGCAGAAACATGAGCCGATGTCAACCCCTATAGATAGTACAAGATAAAATAATTAGCCCAACAGAAAGAGAAGCCCCAGACCAGGAGGTATCGTCCTCTTTTTTTTTTTTTTTTTTTTTTTTTTTAAAAAAAAAAAAAAAAAAAAAAAAAAACCACAGATGAAGACAGTGAGTTGGGGAGCATCCTAGGAACTAAGGGGGTTGGTAGGAAAGCTTACTAGAAGATATGGAGACAGAGCTAGGCCTCTGAGCCAAAAACAAAGGAAGTGAGCTTGCAGAAGATGAATCGAACTGGTCCCAGTGGCTCTCCCGGTGAGCTATGAAAGTGAAAGTTCAGTAGGGATGAATTACTGGTGGTGGGGGGTGAGAGTGAGGATTACCTGTATCTGGGAAAAGGTTCAAGTCAATAGGAGGAAATGTTCATATTTATCTCTTTGCGGAAGGGGGGAGCAGGTGGCTGTCACATGAGTCAATGTTTTTAGAATATTTGTGATAGACTATCAGGGACAAGGCCTGGTTAGTACTGAGCTCTGGGTGAAGGAGCTTCCAGCTTCCGCAACAGGAACTCAGCCTAGTTTCAAGTGGGCAATAAGAAGGAAATGTTCCTGGTCTGGGAAAATTAACTAGGCCACACTCTGAGAGAATGTGACTAGAACAGGGGAGTACCCACAGCAGGAAGCTGGCGTGGGGTCTGGAATGCCTTACAGAGGGATAGCGGTCAGAAAGGAAGTCTGACGATTAATCTTGGTTGTCAGCTCAGCATTCCTGGGAAGAGGGACTCAACTGAGGATCTAACTGCCTCCATCAGATTGACCAGTGAGAATATGGGGGCGAGCATTTTCCTGACTGCTAATTGATACAGGAGGGGCCTCATCAGGCCACTGTGGGCAGTGTCATCCCTAAGCAGGGGGACCCAGGCTATATAAGGACAGCTGACCATGAACCTGAAAGCAAGCCAATAAGCAACATTTCTCAGTGGTTTCTGCTTCAAGCTCCTGCCTTGAGTGCCTGTCTTGGAGTCCCCTGATGATGGACTGTAATCTGTAAGCTGAAATAAAGCCCTTCGCCCACAAGTTGCATGTGGTCCTGGTGTTTATCACAGCAACAGAGAACAAATTAGGGAAGAGAGCTCGAGAACTGGACACACTGGGAAGCAATGAGCTAGAGCTCCTCACTGCTCTGTGGACTTTGTTCTTCCAACACCAACCAGTACTCAGGCATCCAGAACTCAGAGTGCAAAAGCACAGCCCTGCCCTCAGTCACTCACTGCTGCTAAGAGGGCAAGACACGGTGCCAGGGGAAAGGAAAGATTGCTCATTTGACACAATATGCCTTCAAGATGAAAAGGCCTGGGTCTCCAGGGTATATGCAGGGAGGGTGGGGTCAGGTACAGCATCCACATCAAGGTCTAAAACAAGCTAAGCTGCTACCGTGGGTATGTATTGGGGTTCTTCTCTGCTATGAGAACCTTGGGGATGTGATCACCACCACACATTTGTGATTTCTAATGTCTAAGCAAGCTCACTTCGATCACCAGCTCCTGGAGACTTATGCAGGCACCTGCCAGTCATTCCCACTTGTGACTTGCTTTCACCAGATGAGGGGCTGCTGGTGAGGCTGAAATTAATGCAAACAGAGGAGGTGAGTGCAGACAAGGGGCAAGGTCCTCCTGAATCAGGAGTCACTGGCAAATGTGACAGTACTGATAGAAACAGGCCAAAAGGACCTGCCTGAGAATTCTGGACCTTGGCTAGATTGAGATGGCACATCCTGGGGGAAGGTAAGTATGGGTGTCAGCTCATGTGGAGAGAACGACAGGGCAGACCAACATGGGCTGTTAGGGAGAGCAGGGCATGGCATGTCCAACATGGCCTCGATGCCTTATGCCACTGGGTCTAGAAGCAGCACTGGCTCTGGGTGTCTGGTGTCTCCTATCCAAACTCATGGTCCTTCCCAGGCAAGAATACTTTTTCCTCCCTCTACCGGGCTCAGGAGAGTCCATTCAAGCAGTACATTTTTGTTGGTTTAGGTTTCGATTGGTTGTTGACAGGCTATCAAGTTATTCGGTCTGGCCTTGAACTCACAATGTAGTCAAGCGTGACCTGAACTCTACCAACTGAGCTACATCCCAGTCCCTCAACTAGTACTTTTTTAACTAATGGTTTTCTACATAATTGAACCCTGGAGCATTCAATAACACAGTATAAATAAGTGTTCCCAAGCACACCAAAAGACTAGTCTGAAAATTTACATGTTAAGATAGGCAACAGGCTTTCTTCCTGAGTCTAAAATTGTGTCGGCCTCTGGACAGCACCTTTATGTAAAGGCCAGCATCCCCAATGAAAAGTAAACCAAGTACTGCCTTCTAGGGGAGGGCCCAGGTTGCTTCTCTGGGTGCTGATCTGACCCTATCCTAGAATGAAAACAAGTTTCATCTCTAACATCACTGCGAGAGGAGGAAGCAGTGATGTGGGTAATTGAATGCATTGTTTTATATCTAATTTGATTTATATTTAATTTATTTAATTTATGCGATATTACTTTTTGCAGTAGATTTATTTTCCTAATTATGTGTTGCTCAGGCTAATATTAACATTAGTTGTGTCCCTGGGGGATGCACAGAATGGCAGCAACAGGGAACGGAAGAACATGAATCATCTGTGCACTGTAATAGCTGTTTTCAGGCTATTTTTAGTGATAGGACTCTCTCAAATGAAAGCTCATCACAGATCCGGATGTACAATACAGATAACAGAGGATCCATGCTAATGGGATGGGCATCTGGCTTGGAGTACAAATGAGTTACGTTAACCCTACCCACATGAAATGCTACTGCCCCTACACTGAGGCCCCTAGGAGCCAGAACAACAGTTGAAAACCACCCCCATGAAGCCAGTTAAATATTAACAAGAGATCTATGTATATCAGTGACTAAAACTTGACCCTGTGTTTCAGTAAAATTATGTAATTGCTCATGGCAAGAACTGTCCCCTCAGGACCAGGCTTGGTGACGTAGTCCCAGCACACTGGAGGTAGAGGAAGAAGGATCTGTACTCCCAGCACACTGGAGGTAGAGGAAGAAGGATCAGAAGTTCAAGGTCAGCCTTGGCTGCATAGCAAGTTTAAGGCCAACTTTGGCTACGTGAGACCTTGTCTCAACAAATAAACAATGAACTACCCCCTCAGATCAAAGGATGCAGCAGTGGGATTCAGAAGTTGTCCACACAGATTAGAAGATAAGTTTTAACAAACATCCCAACCTAATTTATAGACTGGAGTGTCCTCATTCACAGCAGCTGTCTAGAAGTAACAAAGGCAAGGGCTGAGGAGCTGTGAGCATCAGTAAAGTAGTTGCCATGTACAACCATGAGACCTGAGTTTAAGCCTCAGAACCCATGTAAAGAAAGCTGAATGTGGAAGTGGGTATTTATAATCTTGTAGCTAAAGAAGCAGAGATCCCCGAGACTTGCGGGCCAGCCAGCTTAGCTTACATAGTGGGCTGCAGTCCAAGGAGAGACCCTGTCTCAAAACACAAGGTAGAGAGCAATGAGAAATGACAGCTAAGGTTGACCTCTACCACACACACACACACACACACACACACACACACACACACACACACTCATAAATAGCAGAGTCTAATGTGTTGAATGTGTTCTATGTATTCATCTATGCTGTCCACAGATGAGCTCTGACATTCTTATTACAAGGCAGGAACTACTCTCATCTGTTTTCCCAGGCACAAAAACTCAGTGAGAAAGACTCAAGGAACTATCCCAGGGCCAACCAGCTGAGAGCTAAGGGAGCTGGCAACCAGGCATCCAGCTGTCTGCTCCCCCAACCAGGGCTCCTGAGCGCTCC